TGGGTATATACATTTTTGTCCTTTTTTAGACTTAATCCCATGACTTAAATATTTCCAAACACCCCTACAAAATTATGCTGTTGAAGGGATATGTAACAGAAAGAGACCCTTCAAAAAAAGTCCCTACATAATCCATTTGTGTGTAGATAAGTTCCATGAACATTTATAAAGCTAGAATATGCTTTTTGTTTTGTTTTTTGGACAGTACAATTCTTTTTCAACAACAACTGAATATAAATTTTATGAGACTATAATCAATGGGTCTACTCAGACATGCTATTCTATTTAAGTGAGGGTAGCACAATCCGGCCACCTCTGCAAGGTGGCTGCCAGTCCTTGAGGTTCTAACCATAGGGTTTTAACCATACATAATAGTCTGGCCTTTTAAGTGGGAACATTCAGCCTTATTGAGGAATCCTAGCTATGGGGCTTTTAGATAATGAGAGTATATCCCACTGGGAGTTTAAAATCCCCAAAAAGAAAGCAGAAGGGTAGCGAACTGTGAAGGAAGAGTTATGAGCAAAAGGCAAACTGTGAGCTGAATAAGCTTGTAACCAAGGAGGACCAGGCCTCTGGGCTGCGGCCAGAACCAAAGGGCTCGCCTCCAAGGGCCTGGAACAGAGTAGAAGGATTTGAATTTGTTTATTTGTTCATTTATTTGCTGCTCAAAGACTACGTTTTAGTTGGAGGAGTGGTTGAGGAGTTCCTCAGGGAGCAGACCTGGCTGCAGAAACCTGTAGACTAAGCATCTTGTTTACACTATAACTTATTTTTCTTCTTACTATTATAATTATTATAATTATAATAATAATAATTATTATTATTATTATCTAGCCCTTCATTCAATCAGAAAAGATGTGTGTGCTGTATCTGGTTCTGCATCTAGAGCTAGTTCTGATTTCTGATTCCTTTTCTTTTTTTTTTTTTTGCTCATCAATATTCAACCATATGGTTTTACATATGAAAGATGAAAACACAAAAAGGTGGAGAAATATGGGCCATTTCCCTCATAAAGCACTGGCAGTACTTATTGCTGCATGTGAGTCATAGTTCATTTATAATATTAAACTTATATCGTAACTAGCATAACTTATAGCCTTTCTGCAAGTTGCATGACACAGAATGTAATTATCTTGCCCATTTGTCACCTAATGCAAAACAAATGCACTCTATATAAGTCATGAATAAAAAGAAACGGAAAGGTATGCATTTCATAATGAGTGCAACAAAACTGACAGTTGTCAATAGTCGTGCAGTGTATCAGAAATACTTCAGACATGAAAGATTCATTATGTTTTATTTATGCAAAATAATTCAATGCATAGACATTATCATCAGATAGCACACAGAGATGAAACTCTCCATGGAGAAACCAAATTGAAATATTTTATTAGTTAATTCATCATAAAAGATGGCAATTTTGGAGTATCAAGAATTCTTCACAAATAAACTTTGGATGGTTCTGAATACACCTTATTAGGGTGGACCAAGTTTGCACCATGGGTTTTTAATCTTGTTGTTCAGTGCAGACATTGTTTAAAGAACCATTCAGGACTGTGCCTACACAACTTTAAAAGGGTTGCTGCTGCAGGCCAGTATATTACCGATCACATTATAGGCTACAGTATAAATTTGTATTATATCTTGTGGAGCAGCCCAGGAAAGATAGATTATGACTGAGGAATGACAGTCTCTTTCAGATCTTCGTAATACAAGAAAGAGAAGACATTATGATAGGTCACACAGACACTTTTCAACATGCTGGCATAATTACTTTAATAGGTGTTTTAGTGCTGGGTGGTTGCAAGGAATTGAGGCTCAGCACACACCCAGCACAGGCTAGTGTAGGAGTTCTCTAAACCATGCTTTCTATGCTATGGTGAACTAGTACAAGGCAGGAGGAGGGCCCTGCAGGATACCCTCTATTTCCCAGAACAAACACAAATAAAATACAAAGGCTAGTCAAAAATCTGTCACATTATTGTATATGACTGCTGCATATTATTGTAGATTCTGCTACAGCTGAACATCTATTATTCTTTCCACTATGAATTGATTTTCTGGTGTTTATAGGCTGCCCATAAATGCAGACTCATCATCTAGCTCAGCATCTAAAGTAGGTGGCAACAACCTGGGATGATCCCATTTTTAATTTTTTAAAGGTGAAAAGAAATCTAGGCATTTTTTAAGTTCTCCCTATAAATGACAGTTATGCGTTGTCTATTACAGGGAAAAAAAGATACACATACATGCTAAGATTTGATGCTAAGCTACAACTAGATGCTAAGTTGGTACCTGCCCTCCTGGTGAAGAACAATCATAACTATCATATATATATATATATATATATATATGTGTGTGTGTGTGTGTGTAAAATACATAGCGGACAAAGTAATTTATTTCTTCAGATATCTAATATGTAACTATTAGTGCTTATCCTATCAATTCAGCAGCAGCAGCAGCCATCCGTCTCGGGATACCATGGGGATTGCGCCTTTACTAGGTTACCGAGGACTACCACAGTTTCTTTGAGTGGCCGAGGAGTCCAATGAAGGACAGGAAGACCCTCCAGCAAGTTGCACATACAAATTCAGTTGCACGTACATCAATTAAAACAACAAAATAAGCAAAGGATGGCCCAAAAATCAGTTTACTTCAACTCACACCTTTTGTAGCAGTTTTGGATAAAAGAGAAAATAGTAACATGCTGCAGTGTGCCTCAAAAGTTATCGAGCTTGGGCTCCAGAGAACAGCCAGAGCTAGTACCACAACAGAAGAACCTTCAAAGAGAACATGCTGCAACTCTACTGAAGGAGGTCCAGCCTATTGATGGTAATATGTTACAGGGAGAGAGGCTATCTAAGCCATATATAGGGTTCTTTAATTTAAAAAAGTATTTATTGGGCATACACCCAAGTTCATGTAGCAGTATGTACTATTGTTGATGTCTCAGGTATCTGGGAGGAATATTTCATGCAGGCACACTGGTGTACAGTATTATTTCAACATATTTCTTTGAAGCGTAGAATGTAAGTTAAAACTGGTGTCTGGTTACAACAGTTGATGGCTTAAATAGGTTCCTTCCCTATAGTAAACCTTATAATGAAGGTTTTCAGAAGTGATTGTGAAGTGATTCTCAACCCGAATGCCACAAGATCTTAAGGGTGCCATGGGGTGTTGCACAAAATTAGTACTGTTGGATGTGCAAGAATCTACAGATGATTCACAAGATAAACTCAGAGGCTAAGTCCCCAGGAGCAGGAACGTGCGGTTTGCGGTACCGTAAAACACTCGTGGCGCTTGTGCATGATTCTATTTGCCATGCTGCAAATACAGCAAAATTAGATACTGGGAAATCCTGGTACCTAAAAAACCTGCAGCAGAAACAAGTGGGGTGGCACATATGGCTGCAGCACACGCCACCCGAAACCAGAGCCTGGCCGGCCAGATCCATGCTCCGACTGCCAGCCAGGCTCTGCGCACCCAGATCGCTGCTGCTGCAGCCCTGGAAGACCCCCAGGATCCCAGGTAAGGTTGCTGGGACAGCCCAGGTGCTGGCCCCAGCCTCCCTTACCTCACCTGAGGCAATTTGCCAGGCACCGAGAGCATGCATGCAGGGGCGTGCCCGGGGACACCTAGCAGCAGCACAAATATGCTTTGCCATTTGTCCCTGGGGAAACGCATGTTCCCGTTTGTGGAGACGCGGTCTAAGATTTCTTTAGCCTGAAAAAGCGCAGGCTCAGGGGTGATCTGATGGCCACCTACAAGTTTATCAAGGGTGACCACCAGCATCTGGGGGAACGTTTGTTCACCAGAGCGCCCCAAGGGATGACGAGGTCGAATGGTCACAAACTACTTCAAGATCGTTTCAGGCTGGACATAAGGAAGAACTTCTTTGCTGTCCGAGCCCCCAAGGTCTGGAACAGCCTGCCACCGGAGGTGGTTCAAGCGCCTTCATTGAACACCTTCAAGATGAAACTGGATGCTTATCTTGCTGGGATCCTATGACCCCAGCTGACTTCCTGCCCTTTGGGCGGGGGGCTGGACTCGATGATCTTCCAAGGTCCCTTCCAGCCCTGATGTCTATGAAATAGAAATCTATATTATCCAAAGCAGAGCCCTTAGAAACAGAATGGCTTCATTATTCTTCTTTTGTCCAAGAATGAGTGAAAGCAAAAAAATGATATTTTCGGAAAGGCACCTTTAGTCTAGCAAAGGTGCCTTGAGTGTTTCTGAGTCTTGGATGCCCAACCTGAGGCGACGTAAATGTCTGATTTTCACAGGGTAGCTACCAAGCACCCAAAACAGGAAAGCTTCCCAAATCAGCAATGGCTTCCTGGAATCTGTGCCGGTAGACTTAGTGCTAAATAGCAGGATGGCCCCTGACAGCATAGTAAAAACAGACTGCCCCCCACCCACACTTGCGAGCGTGTTTAGATGGGTGGCTCTCAGCCCCCGTCTCCCGGGCCACAGGCCGCCCACGTGACAGCCTGTTAAAAATTGTTTTAAACCTGCGTACAGACAGTAAGCTGTAGGGGTGCGGCCCACGTAACGTGTCGAGAGCTGCAAGCATGGCCCACTGCGCTAAGGTCTGGTTTGACTATCCTGAGTGTGACACACCACCGAGATGCCAGGCGAAAGGCCTGCCTTCCCTCTACCCCGGGGCAAGGAGGTCTGTGGGCAACACCTGACTGGATCCGCCGCCCAGTAGGGACAAGCCTAGGGTAGAAACAGCTTTGTGCCGCCATAAACTCGCGCTGGAGGGCGCGGAGGCCAAGCAGTCAGACGCCCACCGCCCTCAGCACGTGGCAGCCGCCCCAAGCGGGGGCTGATCCCCATTCCGGTGCGGCGGAGGCGGGCGGGGATGACGTCACCCAGGCCAGGCCAGGCCTGCCCGCCCCGCCCCTGCGCGGCTTCACCTTCGCGGCCGCCCCCTCCCGCGCCTGCGCACTGCGACCGCGGAGCATCCGGGCCTCGCCGCTGCGTCCCAGCTGAGCCGGGCACGGCCGTGAGTCCCCTCGGCCCCGCGCCCTCTGCCCGGCTCCCCCCTCCGTCTGCCGCGACGGCCCAGGGCCAGGAAGGAGCCCAGGGGCCCGGGAGCAGACAGGGCGGCTTGGTAGCAACTTGGGATCAAAATGAGGGCCGAAAGGTGTAGTCCAGCCCCCTGCTCAGAGCTGGGCCAGCCCCAACTAGATATCCCAGCCACGGCTTGGTCTAGCCGGGTCTTGGCAGGATGGACTCCGCCACCTCTCTGAGTAACTTGTGCCAGGGCTTCACTACCCTCCTCGTGAGTGAGTTTTTCCTGAAATCCAACCTAAACCTCCCTCGCTGCAACTTGAGACCACTGCTCCGTGTTCTGTCATTGGCCACGGCTGAGAACAGTCCAGCTCCGTCCTCTTCAGACCCACCTTCAGGGAGTTGAAGGCTGCTATTAAATCCCCTCTCAGTCTTCTCTCCTCCAGACTAAATAAGCCCAGTTCCCTCAGCCTCCAGCTCCCTAACCATTGTTGTTACCCTCTGCTGGACTCTCTCTTCACGTGCGCTCAGTGCAGAAGGAGCTGTTGCTCCCGGTTTGGGCTGTACAGCTGCACCCACAGGTGTTTGGGAACTGGTGCCTCCCTTGGTGCAATCCTGTTGTCTTGCAAGACAGACAGATGTCTGCTAAGCTGCCAGATGCCCCCCTGCCTTCTGCCTGACTTCAGACTAACATGGCCGATGACTTCATGTGGAAATTGCTGTTCCGTAGGGAAACAGTATGGGTGTGTTAGGCCAGGGGTGGCCAACCTGTGATATAAATAGCATAGGCAGCCTCTGTGTAGGGCAGTGTTTCCCAACCAGTGTGCCATCAGAAATGAAGAGGTGTGCCGTGGAATTTTTGCTATGGCAATGAGCTACAATAGATGTGAGCATGGGGAATGCCTTAACAAGTGTGTCGCAGAAAATTTGTATTAATATAAGTGTGCCTTGGGCTGGAAAAGGTTAGGAAACACTAGTGTAGAGCATGTGACAGACCAGGGGTGGGACAGGGTGGAAGTAGGAAGCAGAGCAGCAGATCAGACAGGGAAAGCAGGTCAGAGTGGCACTTGGGCAGGGTGTGGGGCTAACTTGTGGCATGCTTACCTAAGAGGTTGGCCCCCAGTGTCTTACACAGAATCAAGCTGTGTTCTTCCCATACTTTGTTGGCCAGGTCAAACTGTGTTACTGTCTTAGACTCATATGAAAATGAGGGTTTGTAGTAAAACTAGTCTGCCAAACCCTGTTGTTATCCTTTTAGAACAGCCTTTCAAACCACTGGAAAAATCGAGTTGCTGGATCCAGATAAGGCTAACTGTAGTAGATGATATGTATTTTAAGAAGTATGGGAGTCTAGCAAATGGGACACTTGAAAAGGAGGGAGGAGATTATCTGTTTCAGTTTTGGCCCTGGTGGTTTGGTTGGTTTTAGGTACTTCACTTAATTTCTTCTCATCCATATCTGGGTTTTTAAAATTAAATTAATATTTTAATTCTATTTTAAAGGGTTCTCGTGGTTAAGTTTTACCACTTTTTATCTTTTGATGTTTTATTGCTGAAACTAGCTTGCACATGTATATGTTGTAGTTGAATATGAGCAAGAGGGCTGAATGAGCTATTGACAATTGTAGCGCAGCGGCATCAGGGATTGACCCCAGGATTTCTGTAAATAAAAGTATGAGCACCTGCACTAAAAATTTTGGATTCTGCAGATTAAAGGTTTTAGCAAACTCAAATCTTAAGTAAGTATGGGGGCGATGGAACCACATGTAATCCTGGGTTACAATGCACAGTAACCAATTTATTCAACTTTGACTTTCTGTTGGCAAGTTTGTTATAAACTTGCTTATTAACTAACTTGTTTGAAGATATTTCAGCCTGCAGATTGGCTGCCACTTTTTGCAGCCTGTTACTCACAATATGTTCTGTGCAATAAATTGTTCCATTATTGGTTGACTCCCAGACCTGCATAGAATATTTCAAAATGGGAAACATGTCTCCTTTTCAAGAATTTCTTGTAGCTGAAATCTTTTTGTCAGGTGTGCCACAAATTAGCTGCGTAGCCTTCCTGAGTGCCACTCTGATTCCCTTCCTGTACCAGATCTGTTCCTCTCTGCTGTGCTCCTTGCCTGATGGCTGCTCTGCTTTCTGCTTCCCGTCCTGTGTCCCTGTCACATCTGCTGCTCTACTTTCTGCTCTCAGCTCTGTTTGCTACTGTGTTCCCTACTGCCTCCCTCCTCTACCATGGGCCACACAGGAGGGGCTGCCTATGCTGCTTGTGACAGATATGCCACAGGGTGGTCACCTCCGTTTTAGAGCAACTAGCTAACGTGGAAGAAAAGTGAACCACAAAAAGCTGTCAAATATAGGAGTGTATTCTTTGAACCAGAAATGGATATAAATATTTCAAGCAATATATACAGTTCTCTACCTGTTCCCAGAAACTCAAGACTAAGACAGGGGTGGGCAAAATGGCAGATCCAGCTGGTGGCTAGACTGCTTTTCCCAGCAGACCCTGCCTACGTTGCTGTGGCTGGTTGCCATGGAGACCCCAGGAGCAGCAGTGCCGTGACAGTTTGGGACTAGGGTTTCCATGGAGACTGGCCCCAACACTAGTGGCAGAGCACATGGCTGGGATCTTGTGGTGGTGACAGCATGGTCTGAAGCTAGGCAAGAGCCTGGCAGAGGCATGCAGCCAGCAAATCGTGGCTCTGCCCCGGCTCCGGACCACAGTCACCATAGCAAGATCCCCAGAGCAGCTCCCCACCCAGCTGTGTGCCCTGCCAGTAGGGCTGTCCCTGGTGGGGGTGTGAATCAGGGTGACTGCCCCAGGCCCCGCACTTTGGGGGACCCTGTGGTCTGTGCCGCAAAGGGCCAGCCACGGCTGCCATGTGCTGCCGAACACTGCTGGCTTTGCTGCTGCTGCCAGGTGCTGCTGGCTCCAGCCACTCCCCCCGACCGTGCCCCCCCCCGCCGGGATCCCGCACACCCCTAGGGACAACTCTGCCTGCCAGTGCTGCTGCAGCCAGTTGCCATGAAAACTCTGGCCCTGTGCTATCACTGCCCTGCTGCTCCTTGGGTCTCCATGGTAACCAGCTGCAGCGATGCAGGCAGGGGATGCTGCCAAATGGAGTCCACCACAGGCAGGACTTTGCCTGCCCCTGATTTAAGAGACAGCCTTAAAAATAGTTACTATGTAAATAATTGTAACAAATAGTTAATATAAATTCTTTTATCCTGTAAGAGGACTTTTTCACTTGAGTTTAAGCAGCTTGCTTGTATATGCATACAAATAAATAGTGTGAACTGCATTTTTAATAAATGTTGACAGTGCATTGCAACCTTTTGGATGATAGAGTACAATCTCAAAACAAACCCTTGTGGGACCAGGAGAAAAGTTCCATGAGGGCATGGGTAACTGGTGCCTCTTGATTCAGTGGCCAGTCATCAATTGGTGGGGGAGGGGTCCCCCCGTGGCTGATTGTGCCGACTCAGAAGAACCCCCCTCCCCCTCGGGGTCAGCGCAATTGGCCATGGGGGGACCACGGGGATTGCTTCTACTGGCACCCCTGCTCCCCAGCTGGCGCTTTCAGGGTGGGGACACAAGTGCCCTCACCTCCCCCTACCCCCCCCCCCCCCTGCTCATCACCTAAGGAGGGAACACTGGCTGTCAGGGGGTGCACATGCACCTGCTATGCGTCACCACTGCGTGGGGGGTGTTTGTTATAATAACCAATTTGATATAATGAAAAAATGGTTTCTGCTGCAATAAGGTTGTACTTTAGATTTTTTTTAAAGTATTTGTCAGAAGTGAATGCAACAGGAATTCATGCTAGTTCATAGCTTGCTCCTTTTTGTCTTTGCAAGAACATAAGTCTTCTGCTCCAGGGAGTGGAGTTCCTTTTTATCTTAATTTTCTTTCTCATCTCGTTGGAAATTAATGGCCAGATCCTTTGGTTTCCAACTTCTTGCTGGCTATTTTGTATCCACCTTCTTTCAGGAGTATCTCCTGTGTTTGTCTCAGCTGCTTAAAGGATTTCTGGTCAACATAAGTGTGAAAATAATGTGTTTCTTGTCACTTCTCTTGACAAAGATTTCAGGGACAGTTGTCCACTTCAGTCTACTGTTTTGGGAGACGACAAGAGAAGGAATGGATACACTGGACTTGTCAGCCAATTTGGAAAGTTCAGTGCATTCATGGGAACAAATTCAGTGAGGGTTTTTTGCAATCATAAGGGCAGACATTTCCATAAACCATTTAAATTAAGTGTTACATTCTATCAATTTCTATAGAAACTTTGGTGATTAGACCTTTTCAGTTTGAAATTGTTTCGTTAGTTCTTGCTATGAAGACTGAAGACAGAGCTTTTCATACATGAATTCTGTGCATAGTCTTTGTCTTAAATATTTATCGCTGAAGCATCAATAACTATTTCCAGCTATCCAATCTGGATGAGGTGGTGTGTCCAGCAGTACTAATATTGAACCTGTTCAGAACTGGGATTTTGACTAATTGAATGTTTACTTGAAAAGCAGGCTGAGGAAGTCTGCAGGTAACACTTATGTGGTAGAGAGCCAAATCATATACTTGGTTGCCTATGGGTTGGAGCATATGTTTGGGACTGTATAGTTTACTCAACCCATACCTGTGTGAAACATTCAGTGACCTGAATGAAATATGTAGAACTTATAGGCAGTCTGACCTTTATGTAGCATCAAAATATGTAGTATTATTTGGACCCCAATGAAAATTACCCATGAGTTCTGAAGGTATTTTACATGGATTGCAGAACTCTTGGCAAAGGTATGTAACGTATTGCTTAAATTTGTTTTGGTGCCAGAGGACGAGAGGCTTGCCAACATAACCTCAGTCTTTAAAAAGAGCTCCAGAGGTGATCCAGGGAACTACTGGTGAGTCAGATTCTACTGATTTCTTGGGAACATAAGTCAATAATAACAATGATAGAAACAGAATTAGTTGATCTCATGGATGAATATGATATGCTGGGGTAGAGTCCGTGTGATTTTTTTTTTTTTTTTTTTATAAAGCTCTGTAAAATGCCTTTCCAGTCTGCTGGAATTCTTTGTGAGTGTTAACAAGCACATTGATAACTGAGATCTGGTTAACTTAAAGTGTACAGTACTTGGATTTTGACATGGTCCCTCACCAGAAGCTGTTAAAGAAACTAAGCCATCCTCATGGGGAAACCAATTCAATGCACTGAAAAGTAATTAAATTCAGTCAGCAGCCTTTTACATCCTGTGGTCTGGAACAACCTGGTTTTGATCCAGTGTGGGTAAGTGGCTTCAGCAGCACACCTGCAAGGAGGTGAGGCGGGGTGGGATACCTTGCACCTGTGCTAGGGCCAGGCAGCTGGGACCTGACTTACTGCTTCTTCCAGGCCCCTACCCCCACCCCCTTTGCTCTTGACCTGGGATACAAGCATAGCTTCCAGTTGAGTCCATCTTAGTGCCACTTCTCCCTAGCCTCCTCCCTCTTCTCAGTATGATCACAGCTGGAAACTGCGTGGCTATGGTGCAGTTTCTCATTGGCTGGAAACTGTCCACACTGCAGCTTTGGGGAGGGGAATCTGGGAGAAGCAGTGGCAGCATGTACACAGCTGGAAACTTCTGGTTCTGGCACAGCCAGAGCCATCCCTGGGGGCAGGGGGTGGGGTGGGGAAATCAGGGCAACCGCCCCGAGCCTTGCACTTTGGGGAGCCCCGCAGACAGTGCTGTACAGGCCCCAAGGGTGCCACCACTCTGCATGGCCGCCGCATGCCACCAGCTTCGTGCTCCAGCTGCTTACTACCCCCTTCCCAACACAGGCTGATATGCCCCGGGCCCCGTACACACTTAGGGTTGGCTCTGGGCACAGCTCCTTACTGCTCAGCCCAGGCATGGGCCCAGGCAAAGCCTTCTAGCTCTTCAGGCTGGATCCGGTGGCTCTATCGGATGTGGTTGGGTGATTCCCTGGGTTAAAGGGAGAAGAAAAGATTTGGACTAAATGGTAAGCTTTCACTACAAAGAAATGTTAACAGTGGGATAACAGTTCAGTTGTTGAACATATTCATGAATTATCTGGAAAAGGGAGTTAAGTAGCAAAAAGGGCAAAATTTGTAGATAATACTACAACTTTTTCTGAGCACTCAAATCCATAACTGATAGTGGAATTACTTAAAGATGTTTCAGAACTGAGTGGGCTGCCAATAAAATAGCAAGACAACATGGAGGGAATTAATGCTAACTATATGTATACAGTAATGGAATCTTAAATTGGTCATTACCATTCAGGAATGAGAACTTCAAGTTGTTGTGACTAATTAAAAACATTGGCGCAATATGCAGCAGTGGTCAGAAAAGCAAATATGTATAAAGAATCATTAGAAAAACAATTGTAAATAATTGAAAGATACAGTACCGTTATGCCGTTATAAAGTCATAATGCACCTGTGTCTTGAGGACTGTGTGTAATTGTGGTCTTTTCAGCTCAAAAACAGATATAGTCTACTGTAAGAGAGCCTGGGGCTCTCTCTCACTTAAAGTGGAAGAGCAGCCCAGCCAGGGAGCTCTGTAGGCAGGCAGGGGGCAATTGGGGGGGCTCAGGGCTGGGGCTAGCAGGGGCAGTCTCTCCCTGGCTTCTACCAGAGAAGGAGCTGTTGCCCAGGATGCTGGGTTAGTGAGGGTTTATATTCTTGAAGGGGCAGAAGGCTGCTACATGTTATTTATGTTGTATCCCAGGAGCTTGTGTTTATGTTGTGTTAACCCAGTGCCTTGCAGATAAAGCTATAGGGGAGGTGGATGCCTCATTAGTGTCTGGGTGGGAGGGGAGGCACTTGACTGCCTTGAGCCCTGCCAGGGTTAGGCTCAGGGCTTCAACGCTTATTGAGCGCTGAGCAGTGCCAGAGAGGGGCATAGTCATAGAGGGGCCAGGGGCCACCCAAGAGGGGTGCAGTCATAGAGGGCCAGGGGCCTGGTATATAGGAACCAGGGGCTCAGTGACTAAAAGGGACAAGGGAAGCTAGTGCCTCAAAGCCAGTTCCTATTTGGTGGACTTAGGCTAGAAGGTCTAGCTTCATTAAAGAGGCAAAGGCTAAGGCCCCAACAGAGGGAATATACTGGTAACACCTGCAAGGCATGGTAAAGCCACACAATTGGCCTATAAGGCTGTTTGGAGCTACGTAATTGGCCCGTAAGGCTTTGGGTGCCCAGGCGGCCACAGTGGACTACAGAGGCCCAGCCTTGAGCAAATGTGATGGGGGGCCTAGCAAAGATTCATGGGCAGCCTCCCTTTTATATTTATTTATGTTACCATCAAGGCATGGCAGGGAAAATATTAAGATACCCTAGGAGCGGAGCAGGGCACGGTCATAGTGAAAAATATTAAGGTGCCCTAGGAGCGGAGCAGGGCACGGTCATAGTGCCACAAGGGGGTGTCACAGCTATCCCTGGGACCATGATGTGTTACATATACTTAAACAGGTAAAGCAAAGGGCAGGAAGGAAGTTTAGAGGTATGGAATAACTTCTAAGAGCCTGAAAATGCCTGAACTTTCCAGCTTGGAAAGGAGATAACTGAGGGAAGATATTATAGAGATCTACAAAATCATGAGGAGTATAGAGAAAGTGAATGGGAAAATACTGTTCACTGTCATTTTTACTGCAAGAACTAGGGGACTATAACTTGGCAAATATCTGGGAACCAACAGAAGGAAGCTGTGTTTGTACAAAAATATGTTACTTGAACTTGTTGCTACTGGTTTTGTAGAAACTAGTAGTATAACCAGGTTTGAAGAGGAGATTAGACAAGTTTATGGAAGTATAGGTTCATCATGGGCCATAAAACAATAGTTGGGAATGTAAGTTTCTGGCTTGGCTTCTGCCCTTTCTAACAGATGACACTGAAATTCAATAAAGGAAAAGGTATGCTGTCACCTACACAATGGTGTTTTTGGTTTCATGGTATATTTGACAATTTTTGCCTGCTGTGCTGTCAATTGTCAAATCAGCTGATGTTATTGTACCGGTCAGTTGACTGGCTCTCCATAATTTTGCCTGAGAAATGATTGCAAGATTAACAGGCTCTCATGTGTAAAACCAGTGAACTGTTATAATAGAATGTCCTTCCTGAAGCACACTTTGTTTCTCTACCATCAGGCATGGGGAAGTCTTTTTCTCACGTGCCATTACATACGTATAAAGAAGATGGCTCTGATGGAGGAACAGGATCAGAAAATGTGAGGAATGGGTTAGTTCACTCAGAATCCCATGCTGAAGATGGAAGAAGTGGGGATGTATCACAGTTTCCATATGTGGAATTTACAGGAAGAGACAGTGTCACCTGCCCTACTTGCCAGGGAACAGGACGAATTCCACGTGGTAGGTACCGTAGATAAAAGTAAATTAAAATTACACATAAATGTAACTAAAATTGCTGTAATTCTGTAATCAAAATTACTTCCGTGTTGTTTTCATGCTTGGCCCGTCTCTTGGGAATGAATCAACCTTTTATAAATTACCCTTTTAGTCTTTTTATCTAAGAAAATAAGTGAGGAACTTTTGGCTAGATCTATTCAGATGTCTGTGTCCTTAATACTCCATCTATGTGGGTATTCTACCCCTTAAGAAATTTTTAAAAATTTCTTAGCATGGTTCTGCATGGTTACTCTGTGTTTTCTATTGCAGTAAATATTCTAATATGGTTAACAACTGTAGTGTTGTTCCTTCCTCTCCAAACACATCAAGCTATTTTGAAGTGGTACAACTTTTTTTCAGTCACCGAGTAGTAAATTACTGGATAGCTTTGGAAAAATATATGATAACTGACCACTTTCATTATTAGTGTATTATTCATTACCTTTGTTACTGTATTTTGGGATGCACTTTGCCATTTCTGTTCTTCCTGGGGAAAGTGCCCTTTGTTTCTGTGCTGAAGCTCCTGGAAGTATTTTTGCCCTGTATCCCAAATAGAGTAGCTGATCAATAGAATGAAAGAGAGTAGGACTTCATTGTATGCTGATGCAGTCTTTTTTCACATGACATTTCTTGGAGGTACTGGTTTTTGTTTTTGCCCCAATACTAACATTATTTGTAGGCTAAGTCTGATAATTAGCATTTTTCTCTGCGTCTCTCTCTAAATAGCTGGGTGTGTACTGCTTTGATATTGGCCACTAACAGTATGCATACATTATCTATCACAATCTAATTAATTATTTTAAGCCATGTTTATTGTTGCAGTCTCTCTGTGCCATTTGGAAAAACTCAGTTTTAATTCCTGAAATTGGCTATTGTTTGTCTGATTTAAACAGACTAGTAGACGCTTATGTAACAGGTAGATTTTGCTGACACAGATGCCTATTCGTTCAGTAGTAGGTTTGAGGGTTTGGTTTGGTTTTGGTGTTTTTGTTTTTGTTTTTTTTGTCGTCTTCCCCCCCCCTGTTTCCTGGCAACAGTAGGCATGCTTATGAAGGAAAAAATATTTCTTCTAATGCTAGTTATATAAGGTAACATGTAACAACAGCACATGACCTGAGAAAATCTACTGACTACGAGTAATCAATTGAGCAGGTTTAAAAGAAACTGGGTTCCCCATGTGATTCTCTTCCCCCCCCCCCCCCAA